CTGTGTTTGGGGGCTCAGGGGCGGCGGGCCCCGAACCTCCCAGTAGCCCCTTGTATCCCCCGCCATGGGATGAGCAAGAGAGGGAACCAGTAGGATTACTCCTGCCACCCTAGTGGCCAGGAGAGCCTGGGAGGAAGGTGAGGATGCCGCCCACCTATTCAGCCCCACAGAGAGACACTCAGACGTGGCAGGGGTTCCGTCAGGCAGTTCCGTTTATTTCCACACAAGCATCTGCTTTTATAAGCATATGGCAAGGGGATTTCTTAACTTCAGCCTATCATCTTAAAGGTCATGTGAACATGCATCTTGCTCTAATGCTTTGCTATTGCAATCATGCGGGGAGCACGAGCGCAGAAATATCTTTTATCCAATAATTTTAAACTATGTCTTTCCTTGGCCACTCCCCAGCGGCTTCTGTCAGGCACCATCTTTATCTCTCCTGTCCAGGCGAATGTTTTCAGGTCCCCCTTTTTGTTTTTTATGAGCAGTTGTAAGCGGCTAACCTCACAGCCTCGCCAGCTGCAAGTGGTTGTGCCTGTCTTAGGTTGTCCCCCTCTGGGGATCTTACCCGTCATTGACTATCCAACCAAGCAGAGGTCTGGCGGAACTCTTTAGTATCTGGAATAAATTTTTTGGAGGGCCATATTTACCCATGGGTTAGAGGGTTTCTTTTCTTGGGCCACCTCGTCTACCACTTGGGCGAGCATAGTGATAGACCCCACATGATGCCGTATAAGGTTAATTATTTTGATAAGCACCAATGGGCCAATTGTTACTGCTAACAAGAGGATAACAACAGGACCCACCAGGGATGATAATAAGGTTGTGAGCCAAGGAGAATTATTAAACCATGATTGAAACCAACTTGCCTGAGCTTCTCGCTCTCTTTTGCACTTTTCTAAACTTTCTCTAACCTTAGCTAAAGATTCATGCACTACTCCTGAAAGATCAGCGTAAAAGCAACACTCTTCTTTGAGGGCAGCACATAAGCTCCCCTGCTGTAAAAATAAAAGATCTAATCCTCTATGATTTTGTAACACAACCTCAGAAACGGAGGTTAATGAAGTTTGCATATGGCTTATAGAATGTTCTAATTGGCCTAAATCTTCATCTACAATCTGTCTTAAATCTTGAATGTTTTGGTAAGCATATGCTATTCCTGCTGTTCCTGTGCTGGCACCGATGACCCCGAGGAGGGAGGATATGGCCACTGCAGCTCCAACGCCTCTTTTATGTAATCACCTTCCTTTGGTTGTCCAATGTGTGTACATCTCGGATCCTTCGTGCCAATATACCTTGGGAAGAATGTCAACTGCAACACAAATTTCATTATTAAAAGAAGCATTATATATACAAGATGTAAGTCCTGACTGGGTGCACAGCCATTTCCCCTGGGAGGGCTTATTCCATTGTCCTGTGAGTGTTACTTGTTTATCACAAAAGGTGGTCTCATTGCCTCCTATACAGACTCCCTTACCCACAATGCGCTGCATAGTAAGTCCAGGCCATGTTTGATTATGGACATTTAAGTGCAGTATAAGTGGCATTTACAATTGCCCATAAACTGGGAGCGCTGGGGCGGGTTCGTCCTTGGTTTGGGGGGAGTGTATACTGTTTGTTTCTTTAGTATTGGTAACAGCTGATGGTTTGATAAGAACTTAGTTTGGTCCCACACTACTAGTAATAGGTTGCACGGAATATTTAATTGAAAAAAGAATTCCATCATCATATCCATTTTTGTATAATCTTAATCCCCATACAAGGCCACTCCGGAGGTTTTTAAGTGTTTCTGTTGTTATCTTGTCTTGGTGGAGGGTTATTATTAAAGGCATGCATTTTTTTTTTAACTGTAATATAGTCCCAAGAGGATGATGGGTTCCAATTGGCATCGCCGATAGTTTCACACCCCCAAGTTGCACAGTAAAATGAGGAGGTTGAATGGCGGCCTGTTGTACTCCTGTGCTATAGGGGTTAGTGGTCCCTGACAACATCCCAAATGTAATGGGGATCACAGGATTTGCCGCCTGGTTTCTCTCTGCCTGGAGGTGGCATTCTTCCTTAAAAAAGGCACAGAACTTTATGGACAAGGCACCAGGGAGTACGGCCCTACATAACATTTTCCAGTCTTGGGTGGTGCAAGGTTGGTGGACCAACCCCTGAAGGATGGTCTCAGCCCAAGGTGAGTTGGGCCCATCTTCTGCAACTGCCTTTTTAAAATCTTTTAAATAGCCGGGTTCCCATGGGTACCAAATGGTGGGTCCGTTTCCCCCCGGGTTAGTGTTTACAGGATAGGCCTGGAGCTGGTCCCTTGGGCTTATCGGGTGTTCCCATGTTTCTGTAAACATCTTTTTTTGAACAGGCGTGTGAACAGGATATGCCTGTGGCTGATCCTTACATGGCGGAGGTGGTCCCCAAGGGTTTTGAGGTGTGGAGTATTCATCCAAGGGACAGGGAAGTGGAGAATATAATTTACTCTCGGGTTCCTCAGAGCAAGGGGGACCTTGGTGTTGGGATCCCTCCACATCCTTTTCAAAAACTGTCTTGGGATTGGCAGGCTCTGGGGCTCCTTCAGATGTAGTAGACGGGGGCCCAGTTTGGACCTGCTCCTGTGTAAACTGGGCCCATTTACATTCTATCTCTATACTATCAGGGCTGGCTCCCCTGAGTAGGCGGAAACCATTTTTGAGGGCAGATATGGTGGGATAGAACCCCAACAGCAGGTCTATTCCCTGATGGATTTCTCTCTGACGGGCCAGTGTCTGGACTCGATCCCAGGTGTCATAGGAAAAGAAATTGGCCGAGGGCACCCAGGGGGCCACCTGCATCACGGCCTCCCAGGTCCTGTTAGCCACACTGTCTGAGAGGTCAAGCCCCCGGCTCTTTAAGAGATACCGCAAGGCCTTAAAGGCCAGGTCATCATGCTTTCCAACACTGTTCCCCATATTGCAAAGTAAGCAAAGGAGAGGAGCCTTCACCTACACAGGCTGCCACTACTGGGGACACTACTGATGAGACCTTCAGAGTCCACCGGGGAGTCGCCCTGGTCCAAGAAAGTGAAAGAGGGCATAGCAAGAAGGGTTAAGGTGAAGGTAGGGGAGGGCCGACACGACCCAAGATACTCACCCTGACAAATTCGACTACTCCCAGGCGATGTTCTTCTGAGGAGAACTCCGTGCCGTGGCTCGGTGGCCTTTTCCTCGCCCTTCTTTCTCGGCCGCACGGCGGACCGGTTGCCCTAACCCTCGGGTCCCTGTTCAGGCGCCAGCTGCGGGGTCTCAGGGGCGGGGGCCCCAAACCTCCCAGTAGCCCCTTTTATCCCCCGCCACGGGATGAGCAAGAGAGGGAACCAGTAGGATTACTCCTGCCACCCTAGTGGCCAGGAGAGCCTGGTAGGAAGGTGAGCCTGCCGCCCGCCTATTCAGCCCACAGAGAGACACTCAGACACAGCAGGGGTTCCGTCAAGCAGTTCCGTTTATTTTCACACGAGCACCTGCTTTTATAAGCAGATGGCAAGGGGATTTCCTAACTTCAGCCTATCATCTTAAAGGTCATGTGAACATGCATCTTGCTCTAACGCTTTGCTATTGCAATCACGCAGGGAGCACGAGCGCGGAAATATCTTTTATCCAATAAGTTTAAACTATGTCTTTCCTTGGCCACTCCCCGGCAGCTTCCGTCAGGCGCCATCCTTATCTCTCCTGTCCAGGCGAATGTTTTCAACAGATGACATACGCGTATGAAGGTGGGGTCGTGGATAGTTCTCTGCCCCGGGAGGTGTGTGGCCTCAATGCCCCAATATCTGTGCCCTTACAAGATGATTTTACATGTTCTCCTATCAAGAGTTAGACTCTGTTCCAACCTGTGAATCTGGGTTGGCCATACAACTTGCTTTGGCCAATGGGACATCAGCAAATATGACATATGCAGAGTCCTGAAAAGAGCTTGGACTTTGGACATTTTCATTTTACTGATCTTGGGAATGCAGCAACTACCATCATTTAAATAAGTGGTCTTGGGCTAGCCTGTTGGATGATGATAGACATGAGTCCCAGTTACTCCCCTCACCCAAGCCAAAAACCAGCCGACCATGTGTGGGACTGTTCCCTGCTAGCTGATCACAGTTGTGTGACTGAGAGCAGAATTGCCCACCTGAGATCATGCCAAATTGGCAACTTAGAGAATTATAAGCCAATAATTGGCTACCATATTAAACCACTAAATCTTGAGGAAGTTTGCTATGCAAGAAAAGCTGACTGATACATTGTACTCAGTATCCCCTTGACTCCATTCCAAGGGGCTTCATGCTGAGCATACCCTGTCTGTCTTTGACCTGCTCTGCAAATATCCAGGGAAAGGTCAGTGGGGGTTGGGGGGAGGATGGCATGGGATGGGACAGTGTGACATGGGGAGAGGATGACATGGGGGTGGAGCCAGTGTGACATGAAGACAACAGTCAATGTGACATGGGGGAGGGCTCAGCATGGCAGGTGAGGGGGGTCTGTAGCTCACAGAGGGAGAAGTTTATTTTCAAGTTGAGGACAGGTAAATGTCACACAGAGAGGTGGGGATCAGCCACACCAAGGGGGGACAGGTGAGTAAATCTAGGGGAACCAAGGGACTGAACTATTGCCGGAGACAGTGAGTTAAAGCAGACACAATTGGCCAGTTGAGATTTCTGTCTTCTAACTGAAGGAGCGTCAAGCTCTTGGCCTGTAGTCCACCCCTCTGGGGGTCAGGCATCTCACCTTGGGATAATTTCCCAGGCTGCAATAGAAGAGCAGACACTGCAGAGGGATGGGGTCTGTCTGTCTTTCTTCCCCATCCATCCATCCATTATCCATCTGTCCATTAGTGCAGAGCTTCACTCCCTTGAGCCTTCCCATCCTTCCTGTTACTTCTCCCTTTGCAAAGCCTCCAGAACAGGTTGGTTGATAGTTCTCTTGCCTTGGTTCACTCCCTCCCCAGGTCTTCTCACTGGAAGAGGCTCTGGAGAGGCAGACATGACATTCCCAGTCTCCACCATTCTGACAGTGACTGGTGAGTGCAGGTGCCTATTTTGGCTTAAAATTTTGGAAGGATAAGGGTCATATTGGAGGAAAGTGGAGGAAATGGGCCTAGCCAAGAGGGGAGGACAGATCATCAGCTGGACAGATAAGAATGCAGGACCATCGTGATTGGCAGTTTCTAAGAACACCCAGCAATATCTAGAGCCCACTGGTTTTCCTCCAGCTCCATGGGTGCAAGAGAGGGTTTGAACTAAGGTGGTGAGACTTGATACAATGTGTGGGGTGTTGGCAAAAAGATGGGTTTTGCTGTGTAGCTAAGAAGGAAGCTTGAAGAAACGAGAAAAGAATGAAGGGGAAGGAAGAAGAGGAAAAGTAAGTGAGAGGAATACACATACACCGAGGGAAGTCCAAGGGAAAACGAACAGGGGAAGGATCCAGAAATGGTTCAATAATGCCTCATACATCAACAACGCATTGACCATTTCAAAGCACTTTCACAGAAAATGTCTCAGGTTTCTGATCTCTGAAGCATCCCCCCCATCTCTGTGACTCTGCTTTCCTTTCCTCTGTCTGGCAGCAGTAACAATAATAATTGTAACACCAGCATCAGCAGAAGAGAAGGCAGCCAGTCAAATCAATCAGATGCACATAAAGACTGATGGACCCACCATATCGGTTTTCCTGAGCTCAGAACATGAGTCTTGTTTGGGGACCCTGATCCACAAGCAGTGGGTTCTCACCGCAGCCCACTGCTTCTTACCGTGAGTGACGGAGCTCCTGGGAGGAGAGGTTTTCCCCTTCGTCTCTGGGATTCCTTAAGAGGAGGACTGAGGCTGAGCCATGACTTGTAGAGGGGACACTCAAACCTGAGAGAGGGCTGGAGGGAGGTAGGAGATAGAAAGACCCAGGTGGTTAGGAGTTAGAATCTGGAGTGGGATGTCGTAGACAGAGGGATCTGGGGTTGCCCAAGGACCAGAGGATGAGCAAATAGAGAAGAAAGGGCGGCATGAAATGTTATGAGTCAGGGAACCAGGGAAGTGCAATGGAAATTGCTCACTTGCTGGATGAGGAGACTTGGCAAGTTAGGGGAGGAATGCGTCCGAAGTCACAAAGCAAGTTAGGGGGAGAAAGATGCAAGATGAACAATAGAATAGAATCTATCATCTCTGCTAACTCTTCATGGCCTGCTCCAGATTTCTTACCATGCAAGTTGCTGCTTCAGAAGAGATGCATTTCCAAAACATGAAGGGGAAATTAAGGCCCATACTTATCGTCCAACACCCACATTTCAGCCGGGATTCTGCTGAGCATGACCTCATGCTCATCAAGCTGAAGAACCCCCTAAAGCTCATCAATCCGGTGAAGCTGGCAGTTCTGCCCAACACCACAGATGACAGAGTGGGGGCCACGTGCACTGTCTCTGGCTGGGGCTGGACATGGTGGAATTACAGTGAGTGACCTTCAAGACAGAACCTTGGTGCTCCTGGAGGGTTATCATACAACTATTATAAAACAATAGAGCTGGAAGGGGTCTGAAGACTTAAATATCTCAGCCTCTAATTTTATTCATTTAGTAATTGAGCCCCAAAGGTGATACAATATACCCAGGGGTAACATGGCTATTTATGGCTAAAGGTCTCTGGAATCCAGCACCCTTGTCTTCGTCATTCATCCCCCAGGTGAGGGTGAAGGGTGTCTGGGTGAGGAAGGATTGGAGGCAATCCTGCAGGTGATGCTGAGTGTGGCTCATTTATCAGAAACTTACACACAAGCAGTCATAAATAAGAGCGTGCATGCACAGCCCAAGCTATGCAGCTTACAGCACTGGAACCAGACCGTGGTTTTCTCATTCCATTACCTGATTTCTTCTTCTCTGTTTCTTTTTCATTTTGGCTTTTTCCTTCATTGAATGATGGCAAGGTTAGTGACAGAGAAGAGGGAGGGAAGGAGTGAAGAAAGATAGTTGGATATACAAAGGATCAAAGAGAAATGTTTTCTCTCTCTTTCTCTGTGCGTGTGCTCAGACACAAACCCTGATATCCAGATAAACCAAGATGTCATCTGGTTCTCTAATGAAGACTGCCAAGAGGCCTCTACAAGACAAATGCCTATAAAAGTCTCAGAGAACATGTTCTGTGCGGGATCACCTCCGGAGAGCCTACACTCATGTCGGGTAACTTGCTTCCCTCTGCCTTTCCTAAGTTTGATCTGGGATGCTGTTTGGGGGTCCACATATCTCCTTCAACCCAATACAGTCTGTTGTCTCTACATCCAAGAAGAGATTGTAAATGGGGCCAAGGAAGGAATAAGTGTCCTCTTCCCAGTCGTGAGTGAATTTTGACAGCAGGTGGAAATATCTCCAGGTGTTGTCACTCCTCTATGGCTTCCCCTGATGTGGCCTAGGGTGAGTGAGTGAGATGGGCCCGAGATGGCCAGCAGCATGTCTCCCAGCCCAGTCCACCTAATTCTTTCTATTCTGGGCCCCTCAGATAGGGACTTGGCACTATGTCGCCTTTTTTTGGCTACCCTGCCTGACTCATCTCTCCCTTTCTAACAGGAAATAGCAGCGGCCCCAATCCTGTGCCAAAATCAGCTCCAAGGGATCCTGTCCTGGTCAGAAGGGTGTACTCTGAGAGGTGACACCGGCTACTACACCAAGATTTCCCACTATACAGACTGGATCCTCAAAGTCATCCACTCCAGTTGAACTCGATCTGTTCCTTCACTCGGCAGCCTCAGAACTGGGTTTACCAACATTGGCCCTTCCTTTCCTTCTAGCCTCAGAACAAGATGGGAATAAAATCTTTGTCTATGAGAAGTTTTCAGTTCCTGCAGGTTTCTTGACTTCTCTTACCCTTTCTCAGTCCCAACCTGAATGATCATCAAAGGATTTGATCTGGATAATGTTCTCATGAATGGGATAACTTCTCACCACCCCCTGCCTCTCCTCCTCCCACGTCCTACCTATCTGCCTGGACTTTCTCAGACTTTTCTGAGCTGTTCTCCCACACCCTCCAGAGGACATATGGGCCTCAGGAATGTGGAAGTGAGTTTGTGGCATCCTGGGTCTGGCATCACTTAGTGCTGAGTCAGGTTTCAGCCTGTGCCCTCTCAACCCATCCTATCTAATGAGGCTGCAGAGAATGCTGGGATATTAAATAGGCCTCTGGTATCATAATGATCAGAAATGAAGACTAGAATTTTATGACCAGAACTTAAGTGTGTCAAAAACAAGCAGGTAAAGCAGAAGAATGGGAGAGGGGAGGAGAGCAGAGTGAAATGGGTCAGACCACCAATAGGAAAAGAGGGTGATCTTCTGGGAGAGCCTTCCTAATGCTAAGCACAGAAAAATCTGGAAGAGGGATGCCTGGAAAGAGAATATTAGAAAGATGACAGAGAAATATTGAAGCGTGGGTGAATATAATGGTATTTGCGTGTGAGTGTGCATACACACACGTGTGCATAGACTAGAAGTTAGGGTTGCACAGAATGGTCTCTCTGAACCAACCAGAATCCTGCATACACCAATTGCCAATTCATCTGATTTTCTTCAAACCCCGCTTTCACTTGATATTATCCTATCTTTGTAAGTTATTAAATTTTAAAAACCTAAAATGTGTCCTGTATTCTTGACTTCAAAAAGTTGCAAAAATACTCATAGAACAGTTTCTGTGCACCTAAAATTGTCTAATGATAATATCTTAAATAATCATAGTACAATCCTCATTTCTAGCCCCTTCTTGCAACCACTAATCTGCTCTTCATCACTATAAATGTGTCACTTTGAGAATGTTAAATAAATTGAATCGTACATTATACAACCCAATATTTACTCTTTCTATTTTCCTTTTTTTCATTCACAATGTTCCAAGTTTCCTTCTATTATCATTTCTTTTCTGTCTGAAGAACTTCCTTCAGCCATTCTTTTAGGGTAGGCCTGCTGGTGACAAATTCTCTTAGCTTTCCTTCATCTCCATTCCTGAAGGATATTTTTACTAGATATAATTCTGGGTTGACAGTTCTTTCCTTCCAAGACTTGAAAAATGTTGTTTTCTCTTCCTTCTGTCCTTGAAGTTTCTGATGAGAAATCTGCTGTCATTTGAATTACTGCTCACCAACTGGTAAAGCATCATTTCTCTCTGGCTGATTTCAAAAGTCTTCCTTTGGTTTAGTTTTCAGAAGTTTGATTACGGTGGGTCTGGGTGTGAATTCCTTAAGGTTTATTCTGTTCGGGGTCCATTTGGTTTCTTGAATCTATAAGTTTATGTCTTTCACCAAATTTAGAAGGTTTGGGCCATTATTCCTTCAATTATTTTTTCAGCCCAACATTCTCTTTCCTCTCCTTCTGAAACTTTGATGACATGAATATTAGATCTTCCGTTACTGTCCCTGGGGATCTGTCCATTTTTTTTTGAAATCTCTTTTACCTCTGTTGTTCATATTGATAATTTTTATTGTCCTATCTTCATGATCACTGATTCTTCTGTCAATCTCCATTTTGTTATTGAGCCTACTTAATTATTTTATTTCAGTTATTGTATTTTTTAATTCTAAAATTTTCAGGCCGGTTAGCTCACATTAGCTCACTACTTCACATTGTTGGCAGAATTCACTTCCTTGCAGTTGTAAAACTGAGATACCCATTGCCTTGTTAACCGTTGGCTGGGGACAATTCTCAGCTTCTAGAGGCCACTCACAGGTCCTTACCATGCAGATCCTTCTATCCTGACCTCTTATCTAATCCCTCTCAGGTTTTGAATCTCTCTGACTTCCCTTTATGTGAGAGAAAACTCTCAGCTTTTAAAGGATACATGTGATTAAGCCAGGGCCACCTGGATAATATCCCTGTCTTTTTTTTTTTTTTTTTGTCTTTTTTGAGACCGGCTACACCGCGCTCAGCCAGTGAGCGCTGTGAGTACACCAGTCATCCCTATATAGGATCCGAACCTGCGGCGGGAGCGCTGCTGCGCTCCCAGCGCCGCACTCTCCTGAGTGCGCCACGGGCTCGGCCCAATATCCCTGTCTTAAGATCAACTATACTATATAATGAAATCAGGAATAAAGTTCATCAAATTCTTGGTTCTAGGTGAGGGCATGTACACCATGGTGGGAAATCTCGGGGCATATCTTAGAATTTTGCTTACCACAAGTATAGTTAAAAGCTTTTATCCTTCTGGGCTGCCCCTTTTCCTGATCTTTTGGCTAAAGAGAGCAGGATTTTCTTTTCTTTTCTTTTCTTTTTGGTCTGTGCTCGTTGGTGATTCCAGGTTGCAGGCACGGAGGCAAGAAAAAAAAAACAGAAAACTCATTGCCAGGTCACTCACTCTTTAAATCCCTAGTTTCCTAGTCTGAAATAATAAGAACTATATATTTTGGTCTCTGTCCCCAATTCCTGACACAGAGCTCCTAAAATCTTTGTAATTTCCTAAGCAATAGGGATGCTAGGAGAATATTTTGTTCTATTATTTGGCCTTTGACTCCAGTTCCTGATACATAGCTCTTAAATCCCTGGGATTTCCTGGGTGACAGGAGCATCTTTTGTTCTAATGAAGCAACTCTTGGTGGGTTCCTGGAAGGGGGCTGTTCACCAGAAAGATCAAGCTACAATTATAAGCTCGAAACTTCCCAGCTCTATTCCCCATACTTCAGGGAGGGGAGAGGAGCTGGAGAATGAGTTAATAATTGATCACGCCCTATATGATGAAGCCTCCATAAAAATCCCTAAAGTATGGGATTCAGAAATCTTCTGGGTTGGTGAACACATCTACGTGCCAGGAGGGTGGCATATCCCAACTCTACAATGACAGAAGATCCTGCACTCAGAACCCATTTGGACCTCACCCTGTGTACCTCATCATCTGGCTGTTGAACTGTGTTCTTTGTAATATCTGCTGTAATAAACCAGTAAACATAAGTAAGTGTTTCCCCGAGTCTTGTGAGCCATTTTAGCAAATGATTGAACCTGAAGAGGGGGGTGTGGGAACCTCTGATTTATAGCTGGTTGGACAGAAGCATAGGTGACAACCTGGGATTGCAACTGGGGTCTGAAGTGGGGGCAGTGTTGTGGGACTGAGCCCTTAACCTGTGGGGCTTGTGCTAACTTCAGGCAGATAGTGTCAGAATTGAATTGAATTATAGGACACCCAGCTGGTACCAGAGAATTGTTTTGGTGCGGGGGAAAAAAAACACCACACATTTTGATGACTAAGGGTGTTGAGAGTATAGAAAAACAGTTTGTACCCAGTATCTTCTTTTTTCTACCTTACCAGAGTTTTCTGGTAAGTGAGTTATGTATTTTATCAAGGGTGGTGGTTAACAGAATTAAAATGGGATGCATTTACTCCATCTTGTCTGGAACTGGACCCTGCCCTATACTTTAAAATTACATACTAAAAAAATGAAAGGCAGTGAGGTTAGGAGGAAAACCAGTGAACTAGAAGTCAGGAGACCTGGGTTTGGGTCCAGATTCTATAATTGTCTGATGCAGGGGTTTTCATATTTTTATGCATGAGCCCCAGAAGAATGTGAGTAGTAAATAAGAGGGGTCTTTAAAAAGTTCAGGTAAGGATTCGTGTTATCTTTTAATTCAATTTTTTCACAAACTTCTTGAAGTATTCGAGTTAAAACTTCTATTTATAATTATTTTAGTTTATCCTTTAAAATGTTGATTTTAGTGAATGTTTTATAATGCACACATGTCAGTCTGTATGTATGTTAGTACATAAATAAATAAACATACATTGGTGGTACATGCTCAAAAAAATGTTTTAAAGAATTATCAGATGTCTAAAATTGAATTGCCCCAGATTTCCTGAGACATCTAACTACCTTAAATATGTCACATTTTATTTAGGACAGCTTCCTTCAACATAGAACAGACTGTAAGTATATTTATCAATTAAGATCCTTTTATATGTCTTTGGTTGAAAATATAATTCTTAGCTCAAATAAAACTTCCTATATTCCTTAGAATTTTCATATGGAGAAATGATTGAATGAAGGTGAATCATTTCTAGAAAAGTAGCACTAAGAATAAAATCCAACAAATAAAATCCAGGTTCATGGTTCTGACCTGATAAAATTATATTGAGAAAATAGGTGCTTTCTAGAATGCATTCAAGATTTTAATTAGTCAATCTGCTAATCATCAGGTCTCATTAGTCTAACTTCTGTCTTTAGCCTTACCATGAAGAGGCTCATTTATGTACACCACTCCGAACCCACAGTCCCTTTACTGGCAATGACACTGAGAAAATTAGGTAAAGTTTTTTCCACGGCTCCAGTGTCTGTGACCTTCATGTGGTTGCACGTGGCAGAGACTGCTAATTGATTCCCTATCTCCATTCTCCTAATCTTTCTTTCTGTAGTGGACCCTCCTGAGTCTTAGTTGGCAAATGACTGCCTTCCAGAGGCTACAGTCCTCAGCATCCCTTGCAGATGGTTGTAGCCAATTGACTAGGTTTTGCCCAAGGGGATGTGAGTGAAAGAGACTGGGCAACACGTGTATCACATTCTTAAAAGGAAGCTGCTTGCTCTTCACATCTTCTTCCTGCTTCTCTTGGGCTGGAATGCAATCCTGGTGGTGGTTAGCAAGCTTTCAACATGCCCATGAGGAAAACAAGGGGAAGGTGAGACAATAAGAAAAGAAGAAAGCCTCATGATCTATAGCAGCAGAGCCGTCTTCCTAACAAAATCCGCATAGCAGCT